TAAGTTATCGACTCGAAATCGATATTTTTTATGTTTTGTTATTCAGGTAATGTTTCGATCGAGTCTACCATACCCCTTGACGAAATTATTAATGTAGATTATAGTAATATATACTTTTAGTCAATTTAGTAAGTCTCATGATAGTTGTTATGAAAATATTTTTATTATTTACTAGTTTTTTTTTAACTTTAAGAGCTTGCTCAGTTTATGTAAATGAGTTTACATCTTACGACAGTAGACTGATACCATAACTGATGGATAGTGGGTATACTATGGGTAAACCTCTGTTTAATCCTTTGGTGAATAACATATCGCATCTCTCATGTTGTGTTAGGTAAAATTATGTATTACATTTACATATAACATAGCCCATGGCTTTGTTCGTATTACGTGAGGTACATGTATGTTATAAATCAGGTTATAAACTATTCAATACTCAATATGTACTCAACCCTCTGTTTATGGTTTTTGTATAATGTTATTGGTACGGTTGTAAATTGTAGGCTTTAAAAGTAGATGTAGGTGTTTATGGCTGCCACGATGGTCGAGTGGTTACATGTGTAAATATCAAGGAACCCCTTCCTTCTTCTTCTTCTTTCCTTGACAATAACCCTATTGTTGAAGTTTTCGACAATTTCTTAAATCAGTCGTAGGATTTAATTATGCCTTTAACTGCTGACAAAAACTGCTAAAGGCTAATTCTCCGCTAGCATCGGTCATCATTGTTATGTTCGTTATTATTGGTGTTACATATATTTAGTTTGCGATCATGGATTATACAGTTTTGTATAAGTAATAGAATGCATAATTATGAAACATGCACAAACTATTTACCGACTTCAAAATAAGAAGATGGTTCTTTGTATGACCTGTACGTTTGTGCGCGATTGCCTCGGGATTGACTGAACCGAATTTGATGTGATTTTCAGAAAAGTGTTTGTTACACTTAGGCGAAGGTTTTAGTATATTTATTAACCAACTTCAAAAAAAGAGGAGGTTGAAGTTGGTTTGTTTAAACGTGGTTTATAAAAGAATTATTTTCTGTATGTATTTAATGTCCTACGTCATCATGTTCTAGTTTATTAAATAAAAATATATTGCCATGTAACTGGAAATCGCTTGAATTATTTATTATAGCATTGCTTCGATTACAGAGTCTCTTAGTATATATTTGCGTTCGTCCTAAATTTGAGCATCAGCGTTTCCTCTGCAATATTGCTAGAATCTGGATCCTTGTTTGGAATTGGTAAGGAATTTATTATTTAAGGAAATGCTATATATAGGAGTTCGTAATTTTAAATCAAACCCAATTCCATTTTACTGAAAAATTCAATCGTCTTTGAAAATTTCACTATTTCTCTCCTGACTTGATGGTGAATGGGACCAAATGTTTGAAAAGAAATATAAACAATTGAATCGACTTAAAATATAGCTCACGTTCCCTCGACTTTTACGATATTGTGTGTATTGTACAGTGAATCACGTGTCGAGGGTGAACAAAGAGTTCTGCGACATAAATACTTGTGGAGAAATAAAAACAAAAATATATAACGCTATACAATTTTTAGGATCATTCAAGCTAGAACTAGTAAGAAGCATTTAGCTAAATTGGGTTTTTGACTTCCAAATCAAACTTTATAACCAGATTTGCAAAAAGAACTATTTGAGTAAAGGTAAATATCGCTGCTGCTGCGACTGCCTCATTGGCTGAGAGGTCGCAAGTGCGACTGCCGGGCAATGGGTCTCGGGTTCCATTCCCGGGTAGGGCAAAGTATTACTGGGTTTTTAAAAAAAATCACAGTAGTAGCACGGAGTCTGGAATTGTGCTCGGTATATGGCAATAGGCTCACCCCCTATTACATGGGACTCATAACATAAATAGTGAAAAAGTGGATGTTACATTATAATGTACATTATGCCACTATACACAGTGGCATAATGTAACCTCTGCCTACCCCTTCGGGGATAAAAGGCGTGATGTTAAGTTATGTTACATTTTGTAAATATCGCATTTTTTGCGAATCACTAATCTTTGTTGAGCCAGCTGGTGATTAGTGCTCAAACGTTCCCCTTGCGAGAAGAAGTTTATGCTCAGTAGTGACCATTTATAGGCAGATAATGTTCGTAAACAATAGAGGGTGTTGCGGGGAACTTAACGGGTAACCGGGGCTCCGGCTCGACGTGCAGGAGAAGGAACGGGGTGGTTTTTAGTCAGTAAGAGTCTGACACTCCCTCCCGCCTCACCCAGGCGGGAAAAGTCATTCGATGATTTTCTCCCCTTAAAAAAAAACTATAGAGGGTGGTTCAATAAAATGTTGTCAGCTCAAGTTTGTTTGACCGTTAGAAATACCCTATAAATCTACGAAGGCTATCTAGAAACTGCCACCTGCACACAAATAAAGCCGGTAACAGATAATCCGGCAGGTGATCGGGTTTTGAATAATTTGATTCCGTATTCACAGAACGGTTCCGTCCGTCACAGGAGCGTTCATAATTAAGACGAACAACGGACACGGCGCGTGCGACGAATACATTTGTACAGGATTATGGTAATAGATATAGATTCTTTTCTATGTATGTATGTATGTTGGATTTTCCTTCTGTGGAAAATGATTATTTGTTTGATTTGTTAGTCATTTAGTTGCTGAAGAAGAGTGTGATGAGAAAATGAGTGTGTTAGGTTAGTGTAACTACACTATACGTGGTCATATAGTGTAGATAATAATGATTTTCCCAATCATCAAGTAGATCATAACTATCAAGTTAGAAGCATTATATAAACAAGACAGGCAATAATTTTATTTTTGTTGGAATGGTTGAAGTAGGTACTTCTTTCGCAAGAAAGAGATGAATGAACTATAGTCTCTAATAATGATTAAGTTTTTAAATGTATTGTTCCTTTCATTTGTAATATGTATTGAGTAGTGTAATTGGTATTTGTGTACAGTTCTATTCGTACAAATAAATAAATATAAATATTCAATTACACATTTTATTATTTTAAACTTGCACTGCCAGATTGATATGCAATAAATCGAGTTAAGCGGTTCAACAGCTGTGACCCGCACATAAAGTTATTCATATATGACATGGCATTTTCAATTTTATGGCAGTTAAAAATGAAGTTGAAAATAGATTAAAACATTTCATCATTATAGGGTAGGTTAATGTGCTGGTGTCTGTACTTATGAGACAATGTTACGTTATTTGAAAATTCTGCTTTAAACTGTCAAACACCAAGCGGTCACCGGTGACCGCAACCTATTGTTCTATAATTGTGTCTACAAAACCGGTACTCGACGAGTTAAAGTATAAAATTGGAAATACGGTTTCATATTGATATTGTCTGGAGATATGAAAGTTTAAATTAGATTTTCTTAACGACATTACCTCGTTTGGTTAAGGCGGTTCGGATCCTAGTTTTAAGTCATGAGCTAAGATAAATTAAGGTTAAGTAGGTTAGTAAAAAGAACTGGTCCACAAATATACCTTATTAGTTTATGCTCTCAAAAACAAAAAATATGGTTTGTTTTAATTTCACTTTGTATAAAATAATTACAATGAAAGTAAATCACTACTCTCAATACTTCATAGATGCTGTCAAAAACATAACCAATCACAATATAGAGGTATGTATCACTCAGATCACAGCACATCAGACTATTAACACAACGACCAATAACAAACCTCCAGCACATTTTCAACTTTAAAACAAAACAATAAAGTAAATATTCCATCAAAGAAAAGCAGATCAATACATCGCCTCTAGCCATCTTCCTACCTCTTGAAACGTTCGGATGGAATTTCCTCCTGGCCATCAAGGAGGTCGTATCAAGATGCGCTCGTGTGGGCGTAAACTGACGCGCCAATTAGATTACGAGTAATCCTATGAACCACAGTTCACTTGGATATTGAGTGGTTGAAGTCTGTTTCTGACTTTGGTTTGGTTGGTTCTTTGTTTTTCAATATCGATACTATTCTATTGATGGACTTTTTTTATTGAGACAAGTCTGCCACAACCTCTTAAAACCGCTGCCACTCCTGTAAGCCACGATCTACAGTAGATACAACCATGAAAACAATGGAACACTGAAGTCCGGCGCGTCCCAGGGACATGAATAACTGTCTTCTGTCTGGTTCCAGCAAGTAAATGCATCAGAAGTTATTATAAGATGAGAAGAAAAATCGATATTTTTTTATGGAAATTTTATTGATGGATTGTATACCTACTTACAGTTTTTAATATAGATGTTATTTTACTTTATTCAATGAATGTGCATCGTGTTATGATTTCGTTACCAGGGTCGAGTGGAAGGTACTAATGGATTTTTTAATTAAAATATTTGTTGCCCGAAGTTTGAAAATGCCTCGGGGGCCACGTCCAGTCGTCTTGTCTCTTTGGTTTGAGAAATAAGTCAGCTGGTCTATTCCAGAATAATTGATACACTTAAGGAGCTGTAGAAAGTAGATGGCAGTCGCTATATAAAATGCTTTGCATTACATTCTGCATCTGATGACGTCATGAATAACGTCATGAATAAAAGTTTTAAGATCGAATTCCATGTTAAGGTCATAACTTCTAGAAATACAATATAAGATAATTAAGTTCTAACTACGTTTAAAAAACTAAAATAGTCGTTCCTATTACAACGTAATTTTTATGATGTAGTAAAAATGTCCTATATTTGGCTATAACAATACATAAAGCGTTATTTTTTTATTCGGCTAAATCGTTACAGCCGCCATTACGTCGAATGTGCGGGAATTCACCTGAAGCTATTTGATTTTATTTTATTTTTGTACCATTCAATGAATCTTGTTATACGCAATATTTGAATGTTAAAAACACGAATGCCTTTGATCTGTCTTTTAATCTCCCATAATAATTATGAGGAAATAAACATATACATCATATAGACTCACATTTTTTTCCCATGAGGGTAGAAAGAAATCAAAGAAATTAGGAAATAAACATGCGAAATAAAAGTAACCAGTTATGCTAAACTCTTTATTCTTTATTTATCACCAAAACTGTAATCACACTTTGGTACAAAATCAACAAATCTTGTAACGATAAAATATAATCATTAGGTACATCTAAACAATAGTCGTAACATTGAAACGAAACTATACAACTTAGTTCTTAATTAAGTACAATATATGTTCTCTAAAATTGACTTTATTTTCATCAAACAGACTATTGTGGTAAAACATAGTGATATCCTCACAGTAGGTACTATAATATATCTGTTCATTTATTGATTAACATAAGATTAAATATTTTATTATTATAGTTTCAGTAAGATAGGTAAATATGACACAAAGATTGAAGAATTTATGATTCAAAAGTGGTGGTCGCTACATTATAAAATATGAATATTTAACTACGACGAAGGTCCCACGAGTACTTTAAGAAGTAGGAAAAATTAGCTATTTTATTTTACAGTTAACGTTCTACTCTCTGGCCTGTTTGATGTCCAAGGAAGATACTGGTAGGTACATACATTATGTGGAGTGGATTTTTGTTTAACAAGCAAATATGAAAACGACCCAATCCCAGGAACAACTTCATGGCTATTGGACCGTTTTGAAAATAATAATAACGTTTTATTGTACGCGATATGATTCAAAAGACAAAGGAAAACATTTCAGTTCACTGGTTTGTGGCGTAATTGTAGGATCAAAAGTTATTTTGTTTCACTTTATTGCTTCCTCAATAAATCTATCACTTCAACGTTCACTTCAATTAGTAGATACATCATTTACTACGGAAACATTTATTTACACAATGTCTGCAGTCACTAAAAAAGAAAATAACGCTCTCTCCAACATGTGGAGAACGGGATTAGCACTATTGTTTGAGAGTTAACATCATACTGATGTGGTAATTTGTTCAATGAGGTGATGTTCTCGGCGGCGGCAGGCGGCGCGACACGAGCCGCCGCGCGACCACATGGTGCCGCGCGTCGCCAGCCCTTCGGGCACAGAGCGCGACGGACGCAGCGGCGGCGCGCGCCTGTAGCAGTCCGGACACTGCGCTGCCGAGCAACACGCGCGGTCCAGCGGCGCCGCGTACGACAGCGACTTTGGCAGCCGCGAGCCACACGTAGGCCCCGGCCATGCACAGTACGCCGTCGCCCCACCAGCGCTGCAAGCGCACCAAGCAGGTTCGCAGCGAGGTGGCGGTGTCACACATGGACATGACTCCACCAGTGTAGGCGCGGGAGCCGGCGGCGGCGGCTCCGGTTCTCGCTTAGAAAACCCAACGAAGAACAACAACATAGCTCCCGCCAGCGTAGCTGCCGACGAGAAATAAAAGCCTGCCCTCGGCACTTGTTGATTGATGTAACCAGTTACTGGTACACCAACCATGACAGGGATAGCTTCAGCACCTTGCACGAAACCTATACATACAGAAAAGTTAAGTTACTTTATTGAAAAACCAAAATCTATGCCTGAAAGGGTGGCACATCAAATATTCTTACCCCAAACTCTTGTAAAATGCCGACCCCGAACACGTTCCATTGTGAGCATCTTCATAGAATATAAATATCCTCCTAAACAAAGTCCATACATCCAAGCAAACAGCACGTATCCGTGATAGCCTTCCACGCTGCTTAGGGCGAGCATTGAAATACCTGCAAACATTGTATGCTTTATAGCATCTGAAATAATGTGTACGTATCGATATGGAAAAATATAAGCTTTAAAATTGCGTACCTATCCCAACCATTGCTGTTTGACAAAGATATTGCTTAGAAACGAGGCACTGCGCTGACGGTCGCACTAGCACGAGCCCAAAGCCAGCACAACCGAGCACCGCAGCGAACCCCAGGAACGTTTGTAACAACACTAGAGCACTCTCTTCTAAACCTTCTTGAAAGCCTTGCAAAGCCTATTTAAAAAACAAACATTAATATTAATCACAAAAACTTTTGATTTCCTAACTTTACCAATTAGACTTACCAGAAAAAAGACGGGAGTATAAAGTCCAAAAGCAGCTATCCCGGCCGCCAGCAACAAAACTTTTGCCGGTCGAGAGTGGAGAGGGCTTAAATCGAAGATTGGTCCTCTCTTTAGGCCTTTCTTTTCTTTTACCTATCACAAACACAAACGAGTTTATTTAACTATGCTCAATCAATTAAACTTGGTCGTAACGTCTTTAAATTGCCAATTACTCTCTAAGTAAAACGTTGAAAGCAAAGTTGCGAAAATTATATCTAAGTAAATGAAATGTGTCTTAAATAAAATTAGTGTAAAGTTTTCGGTGAAAATTGAGAGAAAACAATTTGTCGAAGATATAAATCGGTGAGTTGAAGGAATAATTTAAGGAGTTTGTTCTTACCGGCCTTACCTTTCGTCTTTGGTTTTTGAGGTGAAGGATGGCGCGTCGTTGGGGGTGATAAAGCGACGCGCTGCGGTATACTGCACTTAGGAAGAAGGCGAGGACGAGCACGCCGGTGACTGCTTGTAAGCCCAGACGCCAACCTAATTTCCTGGTTAAAATTACAATAGTTTGTAAAACATTAAAAAAAAAATTATCTTCCTTTGGTAACTGAAATTCAAATATTTCAAGCTTTATAGTTTACGAAATTAGATTGTACATAATTTCACGCTTATGTTTTAAAATATTTCTATTAGTTACCCTACGGCTTCCTTATAAGCGACGCTGAAGAGTGCGATGCCCACTCCTCCTCCGGCATGGGCGACCAGCTCTACAAACTGTCTTCGTCTCCTGAAGTAGGCACCAAGGACCAGTCCAGCAGATTCACGAACGAATCCACATCCCACGCCCAGCACAACACCTTATTTTAAGATAACAGATTATAAATAGTCAATGTCAATCAGATGAAGAAGATATGGTTATTGTCAACCTGCCTCATTCGTGGTTAAAAGTGACAGTCGACAACAAAAACCTGGTCGGGTTCGATCCCCACATGAAGTAAGGTGTAATAAATTTTGCGATATTTAATTTAGAAGGGGCATTATACGAATAAGAATAACTGCATTTCATTTGTAGCAATGGTCTTATTGGATCCATATCTACCTATGCATAGCGTATGCATAGGTGATCTTAAATACAATGAGAATTGAGAACTGGCCTGAAAAAATTCTACTATAAGTGTAATTTTGCGTACTGATTCCAAAGATAAGCATGGTATAAGAATGTTATGAATGAACGTACGTATATTTTCTTCACAGAATTGAGTAAAATATTTACATTCGGTATCCATCTTGAATATAAATATTGTGGTTAAAGATACGCATAAATAATAACATCACGCGTTTTTCCACATATCAGAAGTTATAAAGTACGCTCAGTTTACATTCGTAAAGTATTAAACAAAGAATGCCGTTTGGTGACAGAAGCTGAAAGCGCTTTCAGCTGTATTCTTTTGACGTTATGAAATATATCATACGATTTAAAGTTCATATTTAAATGACAATGAAATTGATGAGGAGCCGTACGGCTCCAACTCAGCAATGGAGAACTCAGGAGCCGTGCTCGTTAGATGTCCGATAACCTGTAAACTGCAAACCACGAATCCTTTTATGTAGAGGAGGTCCATAGTTCCTCAGTGCACTACCATGGGTTAAGGTTTTGAGTTGGAAAATATACTAGTAAGAAGTCGGTAGTATAATATTTATTTTTATAAAATCAGAATAGACGTCGAGTGTAATTATAGAGAAGGAACCCACAACGTTGCGTGGCGTTATTGAGTCCCATACAATATGGCACAATTCCAAGCTTGGAAAAAATTCCCTACGAAATCCCATTACTGCTGTCCGATCCAAGAATCGAATCACTGTAGCGAAAGGCAACATAAATATTTAGTACATTTATGAATTATTGCGGTTTCATTATTTTTCTGATGTTTAGTTTAATAAGAAAGCTTGAGCGAGGTTCTAAATTCTGTTCGTTCATTAAGAAAAACACATGATTTGCAATTTATTGTTCTAAGCAATAGGTAAATATACAGAGAAAATCACCTTTGATTTGGATGAATCAAAACATTATAATAAAATGTTACAAAGATTAAACATAGAGGTAAATCTAAAATTAATTTGCCCTAGTTTCTAACACAGGTATAAAGTAACTACGCTTCGCAAGCAACCTCGAATAGTAAGCAAACCTAACAAGAGGGCTTGATTCAATATACAGCGCACCTGCAATGTGTGAAGAGGATAACTTATTGAAGTGAACCCGCATTTTATACTAAACTCAGCTTCGCCATTGTTTCACAAAGATAACACAAAATTTACCACCACTGAATTCGAAAATGAAATGCTTCAATTGTCGGTTAAAATAAAGTGTTCGTTCTTCCCAGCCTTAAAAGCACTTTATTGTTTAGAAGCATTTTCCTTAGTTTGTGTTTTGGTGAAGTTGTTTGTGTGTTCGAACGATTTACAAGTCATGATTGGAAATCGAAATAGAATTTGTTGACGAAATTAGCTTTTGGTTTGGCTGTGGTAATTTCCATTTTGTCAACCAATTTAATACATCTCTCATTTTACGCTCACCAAAACATCTAGATTAAAGTGTTCAAGGTTTTATTGACATCGGTAATGAAATCCATCAATATCGGGTGATTAGTTTAAACCGGCCCATCAAATATATAAAACGTATATAAATAAAAATACAAAAAATTGCGGGTTACTCACGTGAATATACTATAATATACGGCTGCGCGACATCGCCAAGACGAAGGAGTTCATGAGGAAGAGCCCCTCTGAGGCTCGAAACTAGTAGAGCTTTTATCAGTATATTCAGTGACTAACCCGCAATTTTTAATTAACCAACGCTTCTTTATTAATAACGGCACCACAAAATTTATATCTACGCAAGGTGCACCTCACTATAAACTTCCATCCAAATTTAAAAAGAAAACTCGTATACTAATCCTATACAGCACAACGAACGAGTAACAACAAGTTTATACAGATTACAAGGGAATACACTTACCGTAACTGAGTAAGGTCTGATGGAGCTGCGTGGCGAATGAAGTGAAGAGGCAAGCGAGAGGCAGTAACAGGCCGCCGAGGAGTGCCACCAGGCGAGGAGATCTTCTACGACCTGCTGCAAATGCGCCTGCAGCTCGAGATACTCCCACGCATAGTGCACCAGCCCAAACTAGGGAAAACGAAGGGTGATTAGTGAAAATAGGGTAAGTGCAATTGAAAAAATGTTTTTGTTTAGTTTGAATTTTGAGCACAGAATTCATATAAGTTTAGTTTCCAATTTCAGTTTTAACAAAATACAGAAAAGTTTAAATCAAATGAAAATAGTAGAAAACAATAACTCTTTCATGCTCTGTAAAAAAAATTCACAGTCCAATATTGCGCGTTTTAACTCTTTAACATTTCCTATTGACTTTTCTGTAGTTTCGCTCCCGTTGACGAGGGCTCCACGTTTCAATTCAAATTCGTTGGATTAAAGTTTTGCGGGTTTGCTCCCTGTGTGTGGGAATTAGACAACTTTTGGGAATAGATTAATCTCACGTATTCAACGTTGTATGCCTGTTAATAACGAGGTTACACGTACACTTTGTTTATTCTAGAACAGTTCGAGTTTGACTTTCGACATGATCCTCACTCAGCGCTTCCTTTAGTTCGAAAATCCGGATAATGTGAGCTGAATTCGCGTACGGGTTGGTTGCTCTAGCAAACTATGATAATGGTACATCAACATTTAGTTACGTATCAGTGCCATGTAAACTAATTAGATAGTATTAATTTCTTACTACCTACAGAATATTTTAAAGTCTTGATAAGAATAATGTTACTTTCTTTTTCAGCGAGGTATATATACTTACTAATGAATTTATTATATTAAAACTTTTCTTGCGGTCTTTTCATACTAATCTTACCTATAAACTTCAAAAAATTCGACGCACAAACAAACGACATTCGGTTCGGATTTCTATATAAAGAACCCTAAACACGGTTCGATCAGCTTTATCAAAGTGTCAAATCACTTTTCAACGCGAGAATTAAAGGCTCAGTCGATTGTCCTGATAGTCCCACGAGAAAGTAATCAGGGCGAAACGTGTTGACAACGTTTTTTGTTCGAATTTCAGGACAGGACCTAACTTTCAGACTCTCGTTAATTGATTGCTGTAATCCAATTAGTAAACGTTTTTTGAAATAGTCAGGTATTGGCTTTTTTGGGTGTTCGAAATTGTAGGTGAAAATTTGAAGGTACATTTTTCAAAGGGTTTTCTTATTTAGAAATTGTTAATGAAGTTAGTTTATGGTGATAGGGTCGTGATCACTATTTGTGGTGAAAAATCTTAGTACAAAATCAACAGCCTATAAGTGGCCACTGCTGACCAAAGGCTTCTTCTCACACGGAGAAGGATTGACCATTAAACTGGCAAACACCAAGCGGTCACCGGTGACCGCAACCTATTGTTCTATAATTGTGTCTACAAAGACGGTACTCAGCGAGTTAATCGCCACGGCGCTCAATGGTAATTTCAAACTTATAATTAGAAATTATAAGCTTAGGTTTCTTTACTATGTTTTCCTTCACCGTTTGTCAGTGGTGTCCAAATAATCTGAGAAAGTACATATAACTCGGAAAAAGTCACATTGGTACTTGCTGTTGACAGGTTTCAAACCCGCACCGTTATGTTAAAGACGCGGGCGTCTTCAACCTCCGAGCCAGCACGACTCTAAAAATCCTACTACATAACATTATTGGCGAGATATAAATATTTTTACAGGTATAATTATGATTTTAGCTTCTGTAGTCGAACTAGGCATTGCCTGTATTTCGACTATCAGTGCCCAACCCTCAAACGTACAGATAATTTCAGCCTTTCTAATGTCAGTTATATAATATTAATTTTTCTTAAATGTTCTTAACGTACTTCTTTATCGGAGAATAATATATTCTAGGGAACAACGTAACCTTAATACGTCAACAACAACACACAACACAACAACACAGTTTACAACGTAAACTTAACCTTATGTTCTTTGCATTATATTCCTATAATCACATGTATATCTGCAGAATATTTTACAACAACAGACAATGTTATCTTCTAAAGACACGGTTCCATATTTTGCTTTATTCTCTAAGAATGAAACTGTTCTACATTTTCTGATACTTTTCCCTGAGGACGTGGCCGGAGTTAAATCGATCTCGGGTTACATCCCAACACTGACACAGACGGACGTACAATAAAATCTGAGCGATAAAAGTCCTGCTGGTGTCACGAGGAAAATCGTTACCTCTGAGTGTCATGTCAACAATAACATTTGTATCATTGTTCATGGGCAACGAACGGCAAAATTGTGCCAAATTGAACTATATAGAGGTGTCCTTCATTGCTTAGTTAGACCAATAGATAACAATATGCTTGTTAATGGATGGAGGGAAAGGTAAAGGCTACTTTACTATTTGTATTATTAGTTTTATCGTATTCGAAAGTGAAACTGGTCATTCATTGGGCACTATTCCAAACTTTTTGTGTACATTGAAACACGAACCAATAAGTATTTACTATTACTATAGTATTTACTATTACTATCGAAGGTTTAACCAAAGATTTAATACTCGTCATTTTTACGACAGATCAATGAAGCAGATTATTGTTAATAAGCACAATATCATTAGGAAATGTAAACATTACCAGCAATGAGTCGTTAGATCTGCACACACAGCCTTATCATCGAGCATTATGATAACAGACAATAGCCCATTGTGTTCTCGCACAATGTCATGTTCGATGTGAACGGAACTGCAGATAAATTCTTATTTTAGTTCTAATTAGTCCGGTTAAGATAGTGTGGGCGGCGAAACACATTAGATAGAACGTGAGACTCGGGTAATTTGGGAAATCCTGCCCCCATCCTCCCATCGTTCCTTGATCTCACTCAACACAATTATCCCCTACCCAAATCCCGTTCCTCGATATAAATATTGTCGTACGCATTATCTCTCCCCCAGAGCAACGTTCGAAGAAACCGTCGGACGAACTTAAAACCGCCATAATTAAATTAGCCTTCAGGATATAACAGATAATGAGATTCTGTCGATTTTATCTCCGAGACTTAAGAGTTATAATTGCTTGAGCCCAACCCAATATTTATTGCATTTTGTATTTTAACAACACGAAACAGGATTAAAGTTAATTAACGTTTTTAATTTTATTGGGATAATGCGGTTGTGTTGTAATAAAATTTGGCAATATTGATCCGATGTAAAGTAAAATAAGGTTTATGTTTTTATGACGTGTTATCAAATAAGTGCGATGTTCGGTAAGGACCTGCCCCTTTACAAGTCACTTTCACCTCAACTTGTTAACGTCGCTAAATTCCAATTTGAAAGCGGCGCAAATGGCGAACCTGACAGAGTTATGTCCGCCGCCCCTCCTCCCACCACAGACAACAAAGACCTGGCTCATAACCGAAATTACTTCTGCCTCTTAATATTCAACCCGAGTCGTGAATCTTGGAAAATTAATTCAATAAATCAACCTGGTCTACAAATACCGGTGGCTAGGAAAGTTCATTTACTTAATAACCAATATTAAATTGTAGTTGTCAAAACACAATCTCCCGGCTTTGTTCCCGTAAATTACGACTAAACACAGACGTCACTAAAAACTTAACGAATGTTAACTGGCGTACAAAGTTGTAACAAGTGAGCAGATGAGCCTCTTTATTAAATTGGAACTTAACAAAATGATAGTAATTAAAAGTTGTGAAGGTGAACTCGTTTATTTTCAGTGTTACGGTGTTACGCTTTCATTTTGCGTCGTAAATATTTTTTCGTCGTTGTCTGTTTATTTAAGTATTATATCCGGAGGGTTGCCGTTGATAGATTACTTTTCTACTTCCAGTCCCTCGTCGGGCACAGCTACGCATTCAAAATTATTTTCTTCCTCAATCTTACATTCAGTTATGACATATAAGAGCTATTGTCGTTTCCTCGTCCTTACTTTATTTCTTATTTATCATCTCTAATAATAATAAGTAATATATAATCCTAATGCAAGCAAAATTCTTATTTTACGTACGATTGGACTTTATGGGATAGAAACGTAAAAGACAATGATAACGTAAAAAAATAGAAATTGTGCTGAGATGGAACTTGGAGTAAGATCCAATTTACATAAGTAATAACTTCAATCTTACCAGCGTGGTCGGCAGAGGGTCCGAGATGTCTCAAGGCATATACATGAAGCGCTCCGTAGGCTAGCTGCAACCCTGTAGACAGGAGATGGGCCAGGAATGCGGCTCCGCACACAATCCATCTGCAAACAATTTCTTTGTTGAACACAGGTCATTTTCTAAAACAATTTCACAAGAATACTAAGACACCACGAACACAAGCTGATATACCGAGTTTGTGCCGTCGTGCATGTAAATCACGCTTTAATTCTATCGTATCAGAGATCCGCGAAGCGAGGCGTGCGAAGCCCGCGACATAATTAAATTGCTGCGATTATTTTACCGCAGCATAATTCTAGCGGCGACGCTCTCTGCCAGTCTGCAGCAAGTTTACCCAGTAATCCATGTTTTAAGGCTTACCTCTATTACAGCAATTAGTAGTGTGAATTATTAATACACTCATTACTACCTTAAGGGACACACTTGGGATTCAGCGAGTGGGTCTACCCTGTTTACGTCACATATATTATGAAAGCGCGTAAATATAACTTCCGTCTATGAACATAAATTGTTAGGAAAATACCTGAAATATAATTTTAAGAAATTCTTATTTCATTCAATGCGAGACAGTTTGAAAGATCTTTTCAATGACATTCAGATGGATGTGAAGATGGGGCAAAAAGATTTTTCAATGTAACGTTCGCTCTCCGCATTCAATTTCCTCGTACGTAGTCCGTTTTTTGTCATGCTTTTGGACATCCAGGAAGCGTCACTCTATGAAAATTCGCTAAAAGAGTTTTGAACGTTGACAAAGGGTGGATTTTTCCCAATTATATTCTGCTATTATCCAAAATAACATTTCAGAAATGGGTTACGGAATTTATAAATAACAATTGGATTTCAAATTTCGCAATTTAATTTATTCGTTCCAATCGTGAAAAAACATACATTTGGAAGGCAATTTTAAAATTAAATCGTTATTAACATGTATGAGGAGGGGCGGTACTGTCACCGACAGAAACCTGCGCCATTAATAGCCGCGGCACGCAGTCAATATCCGAAATATAAATTCGTTTATCGTCCGATGAGACGGTCGCATTATGTCCGTATCAGATCCTTGAATTCCCTGCTGACTGTACCTTCGCATCGAATTTATCTTGTAGCCGGAATAAAGTTGCTTCACGACTGATGATGATATTATATGTCTTCATCTTCTGTCTCGTCACGAACTCGGGGGAAATTCGAGATTCGTGTTCACGAGCTACATAGCTTGTCAGAACATTTATCTGCGACTGAAGAGGTTAATGACGTGTCGTGTCAAATCTTGGGTTCCGAATCTTATGTACTTAGTTACGGGAGTATATTATATCTCAACACCTAATGTGAGCCGAGATTATTACAGAGATAATGTAAATCAATATAGATGCGTAACCGAGTGATTAGATTACATGAATAATTCATACATTAATAACGCGTATCGAAATAAAACTGTATCCAATTTAGTTGTTTAGTGTTCTGAGGAAGGAAATTGCAGCCAATAATTCAGAATCTGTAATTAATGCCTGATATTGGACGTGCTCGTGTAATCCCGAAGGATTTAGCTTAATCTTGGCTTTGGATATCTTACTACCGCATGCACATTATACTGTAACTTAATTCTCTACTTGATTAAAACACGAGCTTCTTGATCAGATGTTCGAAAAAACATTGTTTTTCCTGTACCCGAAGGTAAATAAACATAAAATAAACGAACGTCAAAATAATCCAATCCTGTATTAGGATTATTACCGTTTTGTCTTATTCAGTTACTCGTCTGACTTCACAATTTATTTCGTTTGCAATGTGATAAGATATATTGATCGAGCCACTTTATAGGAGAGCTGGAAAAAGTAATAAAACAGTAGGTCGGCACTTATCCGTGATATTTCAAAAGTTTGTTTGATGAACATGGTTACTGTCAGTCGTTGAATTTTATGACTGTGAACTTCTGAATTTATCTTTATAGTGTAGGTATTATATTTACTGTCTGAATTTGCTACTAGTTTTGGCTCTCATATGTATTTTATCTCCTGTTGCATGCTGTAAAATTTATGATATGGTTTTCAATTCATTGTAAATAAAAAGGCTTTCAATTCTACCACTATTATAAACCGTAGATGATAGTAATTTTTACCTTTGTACAAATCTTGTGCAAACACTTTAATGCATCATTTTTTTTTACAATGTGTTTCAACTATTGGCCCTTTTGGGTACCGCAAAAGTACTTACTTATCCTGGTTTGATAATTTATGTATATATATTATTACCATATATTATTTGGTGGGATGCCCCGGATAGTCTGTAACAGAGTAACTCAAACCGAAGTTAATTAAGTTGACCACCAGCTATGAACATTGAACAGACCAACTTTTCCCTAACCTAACTTGGGCCAATGGAGAGTACTCCGAAGCATTATCAACTCTAACTTTCAGCTGTTTCAGTTTATATGAAGCTAATAAGCTGCTTACCGGGTAATAGCAGTTGACTGGTTAATTGTTCAGGGAATGCTACTCATATTTGTATCGAAGGAGTTATGTGAACCGTATTGTTTAACAGGTAAGTAATAAATTGACATACTTCTTTCTGATAGGCAGCACTGTTTTATATCCCATGGGTTTAGAAGACTTAAGAAGCAAGATAAAGTAGCTAAAACGTAAACATGGATATTTTTGCCAATCACGGTCCTGCCAAGCTTATAGGCTTCCAGAAATAGATCCCATGGGGTACACACGTAGCTAATTTAAGGCTTTCAGTCAACAGAGAATAGAAAAGAAAGAAAGGTGTGTACATACGAATGTAGCCCGAATTCATCAACCACACCTATTTCAAGTTTCCCTTATGACATAAACTTGCAAATATCTTTTGTCCATCGTTACGTTAACATGTTGCTCTCTTGGGAACGTCCCGTGCAAAGTAGTGAGGCTATAGTGAGTAGTAGTTACTTTCATAAGTCTACCTTTAACAGAAGAGTGTCAGTAGCGAGAGTACCGAGAAAAGGGTTTCAAATGTGGTTATCAAGTCGGAAGTAAATGGTTTTCGGTAATTCGCATAATATGCAAAACTTTACGGCATCGCAGAAGCGCATCCTCCGAATGTGGACGCACCATTATATTAGTTACTTTTATTTGTTCCTGATTATTTTTATTATTCTGAAACTTTTCGTCGGTACTTACCCCCATCCCCCCTCTGGGTAGAAGTGATGTTTGATGGCGCGGGTATCAAGCTCTCGGCGGCGCAGTGCAGGTACGGTTCGGTGCAGGGAACGTAACTCCCGCTCACGTAAGGCACCGCCTGATGACTCTTCCTCGCCATCTGGCCATCCATCTGTTAATCGTTTTAGAATATGAGACCGGGATTGAAGGACCAAATAGGTATATTTGATTCAGGCTATTTTGAATTCTAATTTCATATTAAACATTAAATGCTTAAGCATACATGGAAGTTTATCGAGGATGATAAGAAAATTTGGAGTGTTCTTTTATTCTGAAGTATCATTATGATAAGAACTTGAGTAAGGTACGGCCTAATGTTCCAAATATTTTATGTGTGTTTTGTGTTCACAAAAATAGTTACTTACTTCTCTTCAGCAAGCAGTATACATAACGAAAAAGAAGTAAAACAATGCGCAACATTATATGACAGCCATTTACCTATTTTTATTTGTCATTTCACCTCTTAACAATTTCGGTTTACGTGAAGTCGATACAAATGGCCGGAGGTTAGCGAGCGTGTTACCAATTGTTAACCTAATAATAAACATAAAAACGAAATTCTGTGAAGCTTATATTTTTGTACAGTCTTTTATACCTATTTTACGACAGAACAAGCCATTCGCTACCTCTCTTATCAGAAAAAGTACCATTTTCAAATCTTAAAAGAAGTAAAAAGGGAATACTTAATTCTATAAAAGAAGCATTCTAACGGAATAAACTTTAGACAATATCTACAAATTGTTCTTTCCTTTTATTATTTCCCTTTGAATTAACAGTCTCACACAAAAGATAGAGTTTCAATGATTGGCAGACAAAAGTAATTCAATTATCGTTGCCCTGAGGAATTAGATTGTGTGCTCGGAATCGCTAAAACTGATTATACGCCGATGTGCGTGCAGGAGAGTGTTGCGTAAGTTAAACTTTGTCGAATCGGTTAAGTACGTTTTCATTGAACGTAAATCTTTTAGAAGACAAAACAACTTGAAAAGGATCTCTTAAATGTAAGGATCACATGGAAGCGGGGGACTAAGTGCTTTACATCCGCCGGCCAGCCATACATTCGTTAGAATAAAATTGTGTTGACCGTTGTTGTCGGAAGAAATATGTTCGAGCGGAGCTTTTTTGAGCATGGAAAAGTCGCCATGTGTTTTTCCTTGCCTGGCTTAGACCGCGGAGATTGTGAATCTTTACAAAGAGCTCCAAGATTTATATCCGCGATAGAATTACGGGAAAGACGTTTTTGGGGTAGTAAGTTTAATTTATGTTCTGTTAAATGTAAAAGTGTTTAATGGAGTGGAAAGGGGACGTGCCAAGTGTTCAATGTTTTTTTAAACTCTATTTCTATACGTATGTTACCATTTCAACATTCATAACATACACCTTTTATTTTTACAGTGACTGATGGGACACTTATACAAATCGAAGGATAAAAGGTCACATTTAGTGATTTCATTTTCAACCTTAATGTCCACTAGCTGAGTGCCCAAATGTTATTCTGAGCGACTCAGCAGTTATAAGAAAAAAACACGTTTGAGTCGCAAGAGTTTATTTATATAAAAAAATATAATTATACATACTTTAACGTCCTAGACTACACTCACAGTCGCGCGGTTGCCCTAGTGAAAGGCTATGTCGACCCGGTCTAGATCAGGAATTTGAGCTGAAAACTAACAAGTTGGGCTAGATCCGAAGATTACGACTATATCAGCACCTGAGTCTAGGCTAAATCTGCTGAACAATTCTTTGTATGATCCACAAATTGTTTTCTGGAACTGGGTGTGATGTGAATGTGTTTATGCTTGTTAAAATTGTGATTTTATTGCGTCCTATGATAAATCTTTACTTATAGAACTCGTAGTGGTTTAAAACGTGTAGTGGCAAATGCTGATGTAACAAAGAGGATGTTGCATACCATAGTGCGGCAAGCAGGTGTAGCTGGTAGAGAAGGGTTGTCGGCAACGGCAGCGCGGCGGCGGGGCGCGGGGCGGCGGCGGCGGCGAGGCCGACGGCGAGGGCGACCACCAGCCCGGCTCCATCAGCCGGCCATGGTACCCGCACCCGCACCCGCACCCGCGCCCGCGCTACCTACACACAGAGAACATAGCGTCAGAATACTGCTATCGTGTTAATAAATAATAAACTTTAAAACAGGTAGAAATACAACATTAAATGTAACATCCATTTTCCACCAATTGTAAGTCATAGGTATTTTTCAAATTTCGATAGTCGCAAGACTTTAAGCCAACCCAGTAATGTACTAAAAATATCAGTTTACTCTTTACATCACATGTAAATAAACACAGATCAAAACTCAATAAAACAATCCATTCTGTCGAAATTTCGAAACGTACTTGACCGACAAAGTGTTGGAAGTGCGACACTTCGTTATTTTAATGATCAAACGAGTGCATCGTTAGTCGATGATGATTTGCAAATACAATAGAATAGGTTTTCGAAATAAAAACACGAGTTACAGAAAAAAATGTGTTAAAATGAACAAGTCTAACTACGAAGTGAGAAAAAAAGAGATTTTTTTTAAGGGGGGAAAATCATAGAATGACTGCTCCCGCCTGGGTGAGGCGAGAGGGAGTGTCAGACTCTTACTGACTAAAATCCACCCCGTTCCTTCTCCTGCACGTCGAGCCGGAGCCCCGGTTACCCGTTAGGTTCTCCGCGACATGTATTTAGGACTAGCCCTATTGGGCCCCATCTGTGGTGGTCTGATGGCTCTTTGAGGCGCGCGCGGAACGCGACGCGCCGTACGCTCGGGGAAAAAAAAGAGATAGGCTATTTTGTTCAATTGTTTAATAGCTTAACTACCGATTAAGGGGTCTCATGTTTGGTTAACGGTTATTGGTGAATTTTCAGGTTTTCAAAAACTCAATGATTGTACTATGTAAGTTTGGAATTGTGCTCATCAATAGCAATAGGCCACTCTCTTTTACTTAACAATTAGCATATAGTGAGTTTTACATTGTAAGTATAATAGACTATGTGCACTTCAGGCATTCAAAGGTGAAACATAATGGTTGTACAAAATAAAATCACTAACTTCAGGAAAATAAAATACGTGTTCAAATGAAGCACAGAACTTCCATTTTCCTACAGTAATTTGTGTGTTGCTACCATGCTTTGAATCTTAATGAAATTAATTTGAATTCGTAATTTGCATTAAATTACCTCTCTAATCTTTGTAACAACATCTTTAATCAATGTTACCAGTAAACAATAAGGAATTTTGATTTCATTTACCGTGTTTATTAATTAGGATTTTTAAAAATGTTTGTGTCAAAAATATTACAAAGGCTTTTTTAAAGACTTAGGGCCGATTTTTAATCACCAAATAATTCTTAACTGTCGAATAACATTGACATTTGACAGTTTTAAGTATGTAAGAATTGTCAAATATTCAGTTATTCCTCAGTTAAAATTTTACTGGCGTTGGTGGCTCATTTTGATACGGTATCTATTCCATTGCTACTAGACAAACTGGAGGGGTTGGGAATAAGAGGGACACAGTTGGAACTTTTTAGAGACTACTTGCGGGATAGACGGCAATGTGTAAAAATAGGCAACGTCATTAGTTCCGAATTACTGCTACCGCTATATGGAATTCCACAAGGGAGCGTACTCGGAGGAACCCTATTTCTGGTATACATAAATGACCTATGTAACCTCAAACTACAGTGTGGCACTATTGTATCATATGCGGATGACACTGCTCTGCTGTTTTCAGCAGGTTCTCTTACAGAAGTTCAAAGCTGTGCACAGCAAGGGTTTGATGTCGTAAATAATTGGCTTAAAATAAATCTACTAACAATAAATACTGATAAGACAAAATTTATAAAATTTAATATGCGTAAACCTCTAGCACGTAATGAATTTCACTTGTATGCGCATAAATCAGAATGCTCAATCGTGACTAACGCTTGTACCTGTCCGGAAATTGTAATAACAGATAACATTAAGTATCTAGGAGTTATTCTAGATGAAACCCTTTCCTTTAAACAACATATCGCTGCATTAACATCTAGAGTTCGGAAATTGATATTTGTTTTTAAAAAATTGCGGCTTATTGGTGATCACAAGTTAATTATTCAAATTTATAAAGCCCTGTGTCAATCGATAATCCAATACTGCATTACTTCTTGGGGCGGAAGTGGAAAAACATTGATACTTCCAATCGAACGAGCGCAAAGAGCCATCTTGAAAGTCGCCACGCACAGACCGTACCGCTACCCCACAGGCTTACTGTATGAGTCTAGTAAAGTGCTGACAGTGCGACAATTATTCATACTATCCACTGTACTAAAACAGCATACTACACTTACATATGACGCTAACCTCACTAACACCAAGAGACGGAAAGATATTGTCTGTACTGCTAGCTATGAATCAAAGTACGTATTTACACATAGATTTTTTGCATTTTTAGGGCCATATCTGTACAATAAAATTAATAAAGAAACCTTGGTTTACAATGTAAATTACACCAGAGCAAAACAGCGCATTTCTCAGTATCTACTATCATTAAGTTATGAAAAAAGCGAGGATTTGTTGATTGTCATGAAATAAATAATATATAGATATAAATAGATAATAATTATTTTAATAAATGCAAGTATAAAGTTAGTGTTTCCTAACTTATGTATACATATGTAGGTTTTGTAATTTTTGGTGACTGTAAAAATAATATTGTTAAGGCTTAGTTATATTATCCTAATGTATAATGCACGCGACCACAAAGCCTGTGGTACAGATTTAATTCTATACAGGCATAGTAGTGTAACCTACCTAGAATAGTTAAATAATAAGCTTTGATTAAGTACATATATGTGAACAAAATGGAAATAAATATATTTGTTTAAAAAAAAAAAAAATTTTTACGAATCTTATTTTATCTACATTTGGCTACGTTTATTAAGTCGAATTTGTCTGTTATTATATCTAGATTAATCATCAATAGACAGAACATATTTTTTATAATATACCTAAATATAAACATCTCAAAAAGAATTGATGGTAACACATATTTTCAACTAGGGAAACAAAAATTATGTGAACTCTATGTAGTTTCTCACCTTCCAACAAAGTTGGCACCGCTCGTGTCAGTAGTAGGAAAACCTTTTGAATTTTCTTTCCATAATAGCGGTCGCAAGACAACGTCACACGTCGAGTTTATCGACAATAATATTTTTTTTAATCACGGGAACATCACTCAGGGAAATAAAGAGAGTAAGGTATGTCTGCTCATCAAACTACACCAATTCGTATTAATTTTTCGACTTTTATACTAATACAATAAAGTTCTAATTATAAAACCGATTCAGGTAGATTTATGTGCTGTCGTGTCAACTCACGTCGATGCGATGATGCGCTGAAATGGATGTCGACATGACGAAATTAAATTTTCGACTCGGTGGGATAGTGTATTATTTATTTTCAGCTCCAATCAACTTTATATGACGTTGATTCACTCTGAAACGGTTTCAATAAGTAATATTGATTCGAAAGCTTGTCATTTTGTGATCTTATTTATGTCTTTTCAATTTGAAGCTATTCAGATTTCTTGTCAAAGGGAACTGTAAATGCAATCGTTAAGTAAGGATCAAGTAACTTCCATTAGCTGAGCTTTGATATTGGTTTAAAGGAAATCCTGCAACATAATACGCCAATCTTGTTGATTCGTTCGTATCTGTATCGTGAGTAACAATGAGAAAGTTGAGTGATTAGCAAGGTGAGACGCAGAAATACAATATCTTAGTCAGCTTATATGAAGAATAGACTTACGAGTGATAAATGCTGAGTCATCTGTCATCAATTAATCTCTGGATACTGATACAAATGACTATTATTATAGCATACACACAGAAACGATCTCCAGTAATATACGTAATCTGTTTAAGTGTCCAATGTATTTAATACAGACGGCAATCTCGACGTCATTAGAAGCATCGATAAAACCTGCTCTTATTTTAATGAATCGTTACAACCCGAAGTGACATTAAACGTAATTTTAAAACACGCCCGAACCGGATAATTAGAGCTTTCGCTTGGAATCCCGGATAACCTGACAATTAAGATACGGATAACAGCCGTGCACCCGCCTTCCGATGCAGTGGGCGAGATAAAACCTTATACGTGGGATTCTATGGCTTAATAAAGACTAGCCACAGCTAAGGAGCCCTTAGGACGCTTTTACACTTGAATAGTTACTAGCGCAGTAAGTCTGTGGTAATAAAAATGTGCTAACATCAACCTAGACCTATGTAATAAGAGCCTGGTGTGTATGTTCGTTAGTTTTACTACATCTGTACTATTTTCTCGGCTCAACGTAAACGACCCTTTAAGAAAGTTCATCGAACCATGAATGATGTGAATTGACACAATTAATTGTTGATTTATTTTGTTATCTTAGTACTAACAGTATTAAATGAAAGTACATTTAATTGTAATGTGTTTAAATGGACTTACTGCGGTGTGTTACGTAAGGTAGTTACATTAAAATAAATATCACTCGCCTCGGATGCAAATGTGGGATTGTTGTCTCATTCACCGAAATTATTCGTAAATTGTGACGTTGGAAAGTGAAAATGTGTATCGCGAAATGGAATATGTATATTTTTGCGAAAATGTTAATGAAAATATGAAAGGCATAAATTGCTTATTGATATATCGCGGTAAAACATGGAGGTTGAAGTTTAAATGCAAACGGAATCATCAATATGCAACTGCTTTAATTACTTGGATGAAATTGAGACATTTTTCATATTAAATTCAATCTTATTAAGCTTCTAGTCAATTTTTATTTTTTATCTTTTGAATGAATTATAAATAATTCTAAATATAGAAATATTTATTAGGTCCCAACTTCAAAAAAAGAGTTTAAGTCAGATTTTTTAAACAAGTTACTAAAAGAATTATTGTTCTTGTGCTTCCTTTACTATAAAATTATAGGAATGCTAATGATAACAGCGCAGCGTTCTGCTTGTCGCAGTCGCAGCATACAATTTAATAGCACAATGAACAGGACTAGTCCGGGTAGTAATAAATAAGTGTGTGGTGTACCTAGCACAGGCGCACCGCTCCAGGCCCTCGCTCACGCTGTACACGCTGGCTCGCCGCATCCGCCGCGGTGCCGCTAGCTGGCCGCGCGCCGCGCCGTCACACGCCGCCTCTCCGCATCCCTCCACCCGCTTAATCCAACCCAACTATTGCATACTTTACACCATACAACGTAAAACAACGTTCACTGAATACACTTTCCTTCAACACCACAAGTTTTTGTTTTTGGCATACTTTTCACAATTTTAATGTTCCCGAAAATTGTCGTTCCAATAAACACATTCACGCACACATCTTAAAGCGTCCGTTCGCTTGTCAGCATCCTTTGTGGTTTTGTTTAGAGATGATTATCCGATGGCACAGCTGCCTCCGACATATCTGTGGAAGAAAGAAAATGGTTTATATTATTACAAATTTTAATGCTTTGTTTTACAAATCTCGTGAAGTGATATTGCTGGTAATGTTTTATTCTCTTTAAACAGTTAAAACATGCGGGAACTGTGCATTTCGTTAGAAAGATAAACATGAATGTATTCGGGATAGTCTCGGCCTTTAGCATAGCTTTTCCCGAATCTTTGATCGCTGTTGAATTTTGTGAAATCCTATTTTATCCCTTGCGTCCCTAAAGGAGCCTTTGCAAAGTTCCACATGAGTCGTGAGATACTGTGATGAATGAGTCAGTGGTTTTGCCTTTTAGATTAAAATGAAAACCGTAAGGAGAACCTGTTTGCCGCCGAACACTTTATGAAGCAGAAAAAGGGGTATTTTATTATTCAAAATGTTCTTTAGCGTATGTATGAGTTATTCACAGACGTTTTGCCGTGGAATCAGAGGTTACGTTTTGTGCTACAAAGTTTGCGATCTATGAGTGTGTACACTGTGTTGTATCAGATGAAAGTTTTATTAAATCTCGTGTCCTTGTACATGTATACGGTTGTACGTGCCGGGGCGGAGTTGGTTTCGGTTGTTATTCGGAGTATAATTTGCATTGAATGTGCCGCGGCCTGCGAGGCGATTGGAGTGTTATCGTAGCCGCACCGAGCACCACTAGTATGGTTAGCGACACGGAAATTGGCGTGTAATGAACTACTACATAACCAACCGTAGCATGAAACAGTGGGCTTTGTAGTAGGCTTGTAACTTACTAATACGTAGTCGCTGTATATACCGATTTTATTTGAGGCTTTGGAATGATACATCTTGTTTTAGATATACCACATTTATCTGCTGACATTGAAGAATACTTACTCGTAAAAGTCTATAACGAAAGTTTTATTAACTCTATTTTCATGAAATTCACGTTCTTGATGATTACATTAGTCCGTTTCTTCTAGCATAATGCTCGATTTTCTCTGTGTTCAACCTTGTGTAAAAATGTGTACGATCTCTTAACGCCTTCACGTTTTAGACAAAAAACAAAGTTTATTTACATAATGTTTACAATTTCAGTGACGACATAAACGTTTTAGTGCTGGCGTAATATGCTTCTTTACGCAAAATATTCCATCAACGCAGCACAAAATATGAGTAAAACGCATCAGGTATTTCAATATTGCACATATGCGAGCAATGTTGGCACCCGGTATTTTAAGGTGAGTACACATATGACGCGTCGTATCCGATGTACAGTCACGAGCAATAACATTATGTATACACATTATGTAGGTAATACCGCAAATAAATGATAAAAATATAAATGATATAACAAGACCCTATATTTACGTACACTGATTTTGTAAAAATGTGTAGTTAATTTTGATACAATACAGCATACTTATTACTGCGATTTAATGTTGCTACATAAAATTGAATTTGTAGAAATTGTCATGTATACTTAAAAATGGTATTGGAAGTGTAAACTTTTTACTGATTTGTATTGTTTATATTACTGTGAAACCAAAGTATACCCAGTTTTGACACAGTTTGATGGTTAGATAATTTGGAAAAAAAATCCGTACACATACTTTTTGAATGGTAGAAGTAAAGATATTTTAGAAAATGTGACAATGAATATATGTTATTGCTCGTGACTGTACATAAGGTACGGTGTGCACCTCATCGCAATGCTAAACTTCGCCGACTGATTCATGAATACATTTTCCCCAGTTTCAGCCAGTCCTGCGTTGCCCAATAGTTCATCAAATGTTTGCAAACTCTGATAATATCTGGCCAAAATTAGTTTCCTCTGCGGACTTTATGGTGTAAACGGGACCTTATTGCAGTTTCCTAGGAATATAATATCTTGTAGGGACGCTTATTGTGTGCAGAAAGTTAAAATGTGGTATCAGAGATACTAATTAATGATCTAAATAAATCAGGCACCAATTAGGGCTTTAGTCCTAAATACATGTCGCGGAGAACCTAACGGGTAACCGGGGCTCCGGCTCGACGTGCAGGAGAAGGAACGGGGTGGTTTTAAGTCAGTAAGAGTCTGACACTCCCTCCCACCTCACCCAGGCAGTCATTCGATGACTTTCCCACTTAAAAAAAGTCCTAAATACATTTACAAATTATCTAGTTCAGCAACAGAAGCTACAGCAAGGACACAATAACTGTATACATATATGAAATCTGTTACTGGCTCATATGTTTTAAACTGTGTAACTTCACCTCGCCTCAAGGTGCCCTGCGGGCTTATTATTATTATTATTATTGTTATCTATAGTGTGTTAAGCTGTAACTAGAAAGTTATAAACAATATCTAAGTTATTTACTTCAGATTAAACAACACTAAACAAGATCGAAGGATCCATAAGAAAATAACTAAGCAGCTGTATTCGCAACAGATGCTTCAGTTAAGCATTAATGGAAAAGCAATTTTCATTTACCGTATTCTATGAATACTCATTGCACGGAAGCATTCTTTAAGAGCTTATTTAAATATTCCACGGCTGCAGAATTCGTTCTAAGTTGTTTGCATTTTCTTGTTGTTAAACTCTACATAACAAGTTAATTCACTGTTTAAACATTTTCATAATTATTTCAGACATTTATGAGCGACAAAATGAAATTCACTACTGTAGTGCTAGTTCTTGAGACATTTCTTGCGGACTCTGTGGAATGAGATAATGAGATGTTTTCGTTTGGTCTAATGAGTATATTTAGGTCAGTACTGATTGCATATAACGTTATGGCAATTAATCTGCAGGTCGGGAACGCCTGCAGGTCTGGTTCCAAGACATCTGGACGCAAGGTTAATTTATTAAAGCCATTACTCAGGACGGGGACGGGCGCCACAGTGGGTGACGTCACGCATGCCAATGTACTCTTAGCTTTTTCCGTAGCTCTCTTTAATAATTGGCCACGATGCTTCATTCAAATGCTTGCCTCGTTAACCTTAATAGTTTCTATGATTTGTAGATGCCATTCTCTCCATAGTAAGACGTTCCGTAATGGGACCACCGATTAACAAGAACAAGAGGTATTTCAGTTGACAACTGTCCTGATGAAGTATTACTTTTTATGATAAAAGTTGGTCATTTCTGTAGCTGTACGTGGACAGTTTTTGCGTGAGGATTACTCCCTGAACGCTCGTCTTGAGGAAACTTTTTCTGCACCATGAAAGGAGTTCGTAAATAAAAAGTTAGGGACGGTTCAGCGTTGGGTTAGCGGGTTCTTAACAAACTTATTAGAAGGAGGATCCGTGATGTTTTCATTTTTACTTTGTTAAACTGACAAAGCAGGGCTTGTATTGGATAACTGTATTTGTTAGTGCGATAGCTCAGTTCATGGAATCGTCCATCCATTCAATGTTCAATTTTTCTAAAAATCCTTTGTCCGTACAATGCAATATTCTTTCAATTTTTGGTACAGCGCACAGAAATTTCAAAAATTCATTTGACTATTCATGCTCTTTTATCCGATATGAAGTTGTGTGGTATCCTGGTAAGCTGACAGCGGGTAGTAATTAAATCACCATTGGCAAAGCTTTTATGATTTCCATTTACAGGCATGTTTAAAGTCGGAGTCGTCCATTCGTATATCATATCATATAAAAAATATATACCTTAAAAAAATCTGAAAAAGCACAAAATTCGTTATGTTACAAATCTTTAGATGTGCTTATCCGTAAACCATTTTATTTTTATACTTTAAAGGTAAAATGCCATCAAATATGACCGGGTTTGTCTTTAAAATTATTCTTTCAGCTACAGATAAAGACATATCATTAAACTTCCTTAATATATAAGTTATATAGATAAAGGTAATAATATACACCTTATGTCTGTGCAAAGTAATGAGAGTATGAAATCGTTTAGTTATCTAATAATGCGCGTTATGACCAGAATTTATGTTTATTAAAAGTAACAAACTCCTTAATGGAGCTGTAAGATAATGCTGAATATTGACCGACATATTTTATAGATATATTTGGACTACGGCCTCGTTGGCCGAGTGGTCGCGAGTGCGACTGCCGGGCAAGGGGTTTCGGGTTCGATTCCCGGGTCGGGCAAAATGTTACTGGGTTTTTAAAAAAATCTCATTAGTAGCACGGAGTCTGGAATTGTGCCTGGTATTATGGCAATAGGCTCACCCTCCATTACATGGGACTCATAACATAAATACTGAAAAGTCTCTGCCTACCCCTTCGGGGATAAAAGGCATGATCAAAAAAAATATTAAAATATTTGGACTATTTTGAGAGCCAAATAAAGCCAAGGATACACTAGGGGACAAATATCCTGCGAAACGTATCGCCAGAGACGTTGGGTGAAGTAGCACGACGTTGCCAGACTTCGGTCGCCATGTCTGGCAACATCACGCTACCCAGGTCCACAGCGACGTTGACGTTGACCACTATACGCAATGTTGCTGGCGACACTTGTTCCGCGGCATTTGTCACCTAGTGTATCCTTGGCTTAATGCTGAAAAATAAAAATAACAACTACCTATATATAAGTAAGTATTGATGAGTTTGATAATCGAACTGACATGATTAGTACCGATTATGTACAGTCTCGATTTTTAAATGTTCATTAATATAAAATACAGGTATATACAACGTCTTTGCAAGACGTATGTAACAGTCTTTATTATTTAGCATTTATAAAACTAAATGTTTCACGTACGTATAAGTTAAATTACACTTCCTTACTACAATCTATCCTGACTCAAGGAAAATGACAATGTAATCTAAGACATTTGCATAACGCGGGAACGCATTATGACGTCACTTCCGTTCAGTTTATCTATGTGAGATTGCTAACAAAGGAGAAAAAAGGTTTTATTTCGTATGTAGATTTCTATCGTTGATATGAAAGGTTGGATCATTGGGGATCAATTTGAGGAAGCTTTATAAAAACGTTGCAAATCCAAAGCAGTGTTTGTTCCATTCTTTTTGATATTCAATCAATTATGCAGCTTTGGTATTTGGCTCG